TAAAACCACACACCCTAACAAGCACATAATGACATGCTAAAACACTCAGAATCACACTGCAACTTGCTAAAACAGTCAAACAACCAAATAGCATCAAGCTAAAAAACCCTCAAAAGACTCTAAAAACTATATGACAAGCTAAAACAAGTCAAGACATCGTAGCTATACAATAGCAACATGCTAAAAATACCTTAAAATATATATAGTCAAGATAAAACACATAAAAATGCATTAGCAACCACATAATGGCATGCTAAATTCTATTAGAGCTTCCTAACAAGCACATATCATGCTAACCACTCAAAAAATGACCTAACGTCCACTTATAAACTTGCTAAAATCACTTAGTATTCACTTAGTTATCACCTTGTAAACACATAGCAACATGCTAAAACGCCAAAGCAAAGACAGAGCAATATGAGAAAATCACTCAATCTGCACTGTATCAACTAAAACCATTAATAAGACCTCAGCAACATGACAAACTAATCAGAACACCCTAGCAACAACACATCAACAGAATGAACCACTCAGAACACCCTAGCAACAACACAAAATGTCCAAAACACCCAATACACCTCAGTAAAATGGCACTGACTTTCAGACAGTCACTCATATTTTCCTCAGAAAATGTATCAGTAAAAATAATAGGCTTAATATTATTTTCCCCACTAATGCCATAAGGGTTACATCATCAGAAGAGGGTTACATCATCACAAAATCTGCATTTTCCAATAAAAATAATGTGCAGAGATGCAATAGAAAGCCAATGGGCCATTTTGATTTCACATCTGAGAACAAGCACCAAAACTCACAGGACGCCAGAAGCTGAAAGACGACAACGATTCAGTAAGAGAAGTTAATTTTATCTCTCAAACTCCAAACGCAGAAACTCTCAAAGCTGGAGCTCTCACTGGACTCCTTTAGCACTCACTTATGATGTAGTTGAAGTTTTGTGTGTGGGTGCCTTAACTTTCCCGTGCAGTGCATATACACTTTCGCTTTATTTTTTTTTTTTGCTAACCGAGTATGATCTCAGTTGAACTGCCCTTGAGATTCCTGCCGTCAGCTCTTCTGGAAAGTTCTAGAGAGCCACTCCTCACATCCAAGATGGGGTCAGAGAGCAACACAGGGAGGAAACCCGCAGGAAGGAGGAAAGGAAGATTTAGAGAAAGGAAAGCCACAGCATGCCTTGTTTAGGTCATTTGGGGTTGAAAGATCAATGTATGTAAACCTTCAAAACATAAACAAAAGCAAAAAGAATGTCCTGCTGTAGGTTCAAAATAAGTTATGCATTTGTAGCACGTTATGAAATGGTGTCAATCCCACAGAAAACAACTTCAACGCATTTTTTAGTTTATAAAAAGATCCTAAAATGTGTCTCATGAATGCATTGGTACAATATTTCTAAGCCAATTTTTGCAGCTTGCAAGATTGTAAAACACTTTTGAGCTGTTAATTCTTATTCTGAATGACTATTCTATGCGGATGATAAAATTCTGATATCTCTCCTCATTTTATATGAAAATAACAGGTTTGGTGCTTTTTCAAATGTCATGACTTAAAAATTATATGAGGTAATATTCAAGTTTATTTTACCACAGAATAAAAAGGAGGTGATTGCAACAATTCTGACTTTTTTCTTATTTTTATTTTTTTAAACTGTGAGATCTGAAACTTATGAGACTCTTATAATCTTAAATTTTATTTCAAACTATTGCACATAACCTAAAACAATTCTGATCTTTTTCTCAACGTTCTGTATCTTACAAATCTATAAGACCTTCTTAAAACTATCAGACATAATCTCAAGTGCAATAAATAAACAGAGCTGTGAAGTTAGATTTTGTTCCTCACAATTCTTACTTCATTTTACAATCCTGTTTTTTTTTTTAATGGAAAGTTTATTTGTCAAGTTAATATCTCAGAGAACAGTCAAAATTGCAAGACATAAATAAAATCAGATTTACAGGACTATAAACTAGCCACTGTGAGAAATAAAGAATCTTGACTTTCATGTTATTATATGAATAGGACAGGGGTGTCAAACTCAGGTTAGTTCCAACTGTACTTCAACATATCTACCTGTAGGTATCAAACAAGCTTGAATGACTCAATTAATTTATTCAGGAGTGTTTAATTAGGGTTCAAGCTAAACTGTGCAGAGCTGCGGCCCTTCAAAAACTCAGTTTGACACCCCTGGACTAGGACTACATTTTTTACAACCGCTGTCAGGTTTTTTTAATGAAGTGCTGTAAATTGTATGTGTATAGGCTTTGTTTTTATTGCTCAGTTATTTACTGTGAATGTAGCGTGTAGTTGGGGCAAAATGTTGTGTTGTTGTACTGTTTTATGGTTTTTGTTCTCTATCAATTTACTGTATTTGAGATGTCAACAGTAGCAAATTAATTTACTCTTACAAGGATTAATAAAGTTTTCTACTACTACCACTAAATTTTTTAGTTCGTCAAACTGAAAGCTACTTTTGACTACAAAAGTGCTTAAAAAAACAGGCTGCAGGACAATTTCAAGCATCTCTTGAAGTTTTCTAGGGCAGTTGGGCTGGAACAAAACTCAATCAGTATAAAATGAGAATAGCGTCTCAGCATGCAAATGAACTGCAATAGTGAAAAACTTTTCGCGGCTTTTGACTTGACCTAAACTTTGCAGGCACCCAGAATGTGGGCGACCGCAGAAAGAATGTGTGTTTTCATCATCCGGGGGTGGACAGGGAATGCAAGTGACACTGGAAAAATGTGGTGCATGTGGGCGTCTGGTGGATGGAGGAAAAGTAGGCAGCACCATTATTGCTGGTTAAATCAGCAGGCCATTTAAAGGCATTTGTCAGAGAAGAACTGCATAGAGGAGGCATGTGTTTTTGACTTATAAATCCACCAACAGAAACAAATATTGCAAATTTACACCGAGATCAAGTAAAACTACGTTTGTGTCTTGTCACAGGGGGAAATGTATATTGGGAAAGCAGTAAGAAAGATGGAGACGGTGCGACTGAAGCTTTGAAGATCACATACGGCTCTGCTTTTGATCAGAGGCTCAATTTAAAACAATCCCTCTAGTCTGAGAAACAGCTATTGAGGACATAAAATCCCTTGTAAGGAGAAATCTACAGCATTTTAGTGTGCATAAATGCAGCAACTATAATCGTTTTTTTTAAACAGCAAACTAGCCAGCATGCATCATATCAGAATATAAATAAGCAGTTTTCCATGACTCTTTGCTGTGCATCTTCAAAGGCTTTGCATTCATCAACCAAACTATGCAGTTTCTTGCAAATATGCATAGTGTGAAAATGAAACAGACTTTTTTATTAGCAGACACACACAAGATGATCACAGTTAAACGTCCATCCTTGACAAGATTATTATGGAAATTTGGTAAAGTATGAATGTGTGCACAACGCATATATAATATTAATCTGTTACTAGTTAAAACAATCTCTGACCCCCTTTTTTTCTCCTCTCTTTTTTGTTTAGTATTATTTTTTGCTATTGTTGTTTCACTTTTAACTTAAAAAAAGATGAAGATAATGATCATGATGTCTAATTTTGCCTTATTTCTTTTACATCTCTTTAAAAAGATTGTTTAAAAAAGTATATATAATCAAACTAATTACTTCCAAAAAAAATAATCAAACATTTTATTCATATCAAAACTGTGTATACATATTATTATCATCATCAATTACTGATTTGCTTTTTTCAACATTTAGAATTATAGATTATTTCATCAATATTTTCTCATTTTATTCTTCCAAATGTTATCTGAAGCAATAAAGTGGACAATTGGCTTGCATTTTAAATGCTTTATAAAGTATTTGGCATTGCTTTTTTAAATTTAATGCAGACCCCAACAATAGGTCTCATCTTTGACACACTTTAGAACTTTTTTTATCACATTTGTACAATTCAGAGACAGATATATCATCTGATATATTATGCAATTAATTTTGGGGGATTTTTTTCCCTAAAAATAATAATAATTAAATCTTCACAGATAGACGTATCGTCTGATATTTTATGTAGAGTGATTGATTCTGGGGGATTTTTGATTCTAAAAATAACAATAATAAAATCCTTAAATGAATTTGTAAAATTGACAGATAGATGTATTATCTGATATTTTATGTAACAAATTTTAGGGATTTTTGTTCAAAAAAATAAATAAATCCTTAAAATAATTTGTACAATTCACAGATAGATGTATCACCTGCTATTTTTTGTTATTCATTTTGGTAGATTTTTGTTTAAAAAATAAATAGATAAATAAATCATTAAAATCATTTGAACAATTCACGGATAGATGTATCATACGATATCTTATGTAATTAATTTTATGGGAATTTTTTTCCTAAAAATAATAATGATTAAATCCTTAAAATTATTTGTACAATTCACACATTTGCTTAGCTGATTTTAAGGATTTAATTATTATTATTTAAAGAAAAATATCCTCCAAAATTAATTACATTAAATATCAGATGAAACATTTACCTATGTACTATATATCATCAACTAAATATTTTTTAAGCCACTAACTACTAACATATTTTTTTACATTACGTTCTTTTTGTTTTTATCCTTGTTTTATTAAATTATAATATGCCAATAAAAAATTACAACCTAAGATACAATGATACAAACTCAAGACATACTCTCAAAATATATCTCAAGAATCCATTTTACTTCTGAATCAAACTCTTTTCTTTTTTATCTAAAAACCACCAGGTAAACAACACCATTTGTCTAGTGCTGCAGGTGCATCTATTTAACTCCAAGAATGACAAACCAAGCACTCTCTCTCTCTCTCTCTCTCTGTTTCTCTTTATCATCATACAAAGCCCTAAATCAGCCTCATCCTCCTAAACAACCTTCTGCCAGATGAGATACCAATGCAGATCCAGGCAGGAGGAGAGAAAACAATAATTATTTTCATGCATCACCGCACAATCGAACACCTGTAGAAACTGACACACACACACACACACACACACACACACACACACACACACCTGCAGGATCCAAGACCTCCTCGATGACGGGTGGCAGACGCAATCCGCAGTCCATGACCGCAGTGGACAGGCTTCAGGAAGAGGGAGAATCAGATGTCCAAACACAACACACACACTCGCCAGCAGAGCAGAGACGCAGTGAGTCTGTTCAGAAAACAGCAGGGACGATCAGGAACGTCAGGCTCCACACAGACTGTGCTGCGACGGTCGATACATCCTGAAACACACACACATAAATGCACACAGATCAGTTCAATATCCTTGTAAACAACTGCAGGCATCACTTACTGAGGATTTACTGCTCTTGCTTAACAAGCGTGCAGCTTCCTCTCTCGGCTGTCGTATTGTCTCCTCCATACAAAAACAAAGCAAAGCAGCATCAAGGGTGTTTCAGAGACATGCTTATTCTGGAAGCACTGGTCTGCTTACCTTTAATGAGATCTGTGTGCAGCTCAGGACTCTGACAGCTTATGTTGCCGTTACTCGCTGTGTATTATGTGTCGTTTGCTGCGCGTCCTGCTCTCGTCTCTCCTCCCTCCTTCTCTCTCTCTCTCTCGCTCGCTCACTCGCTCAAGCTCTCTTGCTCCCCCTTTATCTTTCAGCTCAGTTTGCTCTTTTGTCATCAGGTAACTCTTGGGCTGCTTTGTGTGAAGAACATTTTCTGCGAAATCAGATGTTGAGAGAATCTTGATGCTTTAGAAACATCAATTATGGTGAAAAGCACTTTACAAATAAACCTGAATGAAATGAACTGAATTTTGCACACAAAAAAAAACTGACGGTATAACTCTGGCTCATAATGTATGGCATAATACTTATAATTAGGCCCACCCGGAATCTGCGCGCGCAGAATTCCGCAGATTTTCAGATCTTTAGCCCATCATTATTTCTGTTTATTTACTTGAGTAAACGTGTGTAAATATTTATTCAGTTGTTTTAATAATTTCAGTAATATTATTGACTAATGTGAAAATGTTCATCTGACAGTAATATTTTCTGTCTTTTACTAAATCAAATATATGACAAACTTGCTTTATTTACCAAACAAAGTGAATCTAATTAGATTTACATTTTAAACATTAAATAAAAGTAAAAAGATATTATTTTTTATTTCATATATTAAGGTTTTAGTTATGATACTCCCAAAATAATTCCGCTGAAATCCGCAGACTTTTACCAAAATTTTCTGCAGAAATAGCAAAAAATGATTCCGTTTGGCCCTAAACTTTTACTTATGACTTTATTCTTTAATTTTTTATATATGTTTTGTGTGTTTTTAATTTGAAATGCTTTAAATTTTATATAATGTCTTTTATTGTCCTTATCATCATATTTATTATTGTTATTGTTATGATTACTATTATTATTACCTAATTAAATGTAGAATTTATTTTATTTTGAAGTTACTTTTTGTTGTCATTTGTTTTAGATTAAAAATAGGATTACTTAAATATAATATTTATTTATTTTTTTATTTTATGCATGAATGTTAGCTTGTTAAAAGTATTTTTTAATGTGAAATGAATAAAAATTCTTTTAAATTCAACATTTTGGTCCTCACAAAAAAAATCTTCCTCATGTCATTTCAAACATGTAAGTTTTTAAAACAATTCTGCATTATTATTATTATTCTAATTATCTGAAACTATTTAGAACATTTTTTATCAAATACATTTCCATTATATTATGGAAGTCACTGAGAACCACAACTATTTAGTCAACAACATTCTTTAAAACAATTTTCATATTTGATGTTACTATAGATTTGGAACAACATCAGGAAATTTCTGGGTGAGAGGTTACTTAAATTTTGCATTCCATAAACATAAAAAAAATGTTTTTATTTCACAGCAGTCAGCTAAATCAAAGCCATTTTGGGAGTATATATTTACATTCCAAGTGTGATTCGGGTAGATCTGGTCCTTCATCCTCCCAGCAACATTAATTAAAACAACATGGAGGCCTCATTCTGAAACTCACGGGCCGTTTAGGATCAGACTGGGCAGATGGCCAAGAAAGACGTGACTACACAGCAATGCAAAACCCTAAAAAGAAGAGGAAGAATTTTACCAGTATGCGTAAACATAACTCATTTTATGAGAAAAAACTTCTAAAAAACAGTTACATTCAATCCCTTAGTGTCTTAGGCTGTATTTAGAACAAAAAAACAGCTCACTGCTTACTGAATACTGCACACTGTTGAGTAAACGCAAGTGAAATGGAATTCATTACTTCACAATGAACAATCGCATGCAACACGGAAAGCATTTTTCCCCATTCAATTTTTCCCCTTGGGTTTTTTTTTTTTTCATTTAGCAATGCAAGTGATTGGTGGCGTTTTCAGCACAGCATCTTGGGTAAATGAAGTTTTTCTCCATATTTATCTATTTATTTATCTATCTTTTTATTTAATAATTAAACATGTTTGAAGCACAGCAATTACTAACTGAACAAAATACATAACCAAACTCAACTAGTGACATTTTTAAACATTACAAAAGCACAACAAAGTACTTTAAATAAATAAATAAACAAATAAAAACAAAGCTGAAATGTTAAAAAGATATATTAATAATAGGCCTATATAAATAAAAACTAGAATAAATTACTGCGCACAATACACTTATGGTGGCAGCACTAATAAAATAAATTGGCTGTAGTGTATGTATGTAAATGAGTGTGTGGATGTGTCCCAGCACTGGGTTAATTGCAGCTGGAAGGGATATCCGCTGCTTAAAACTTGGTAGTTCATTCCACTGTGGCGACCCCTGGTGATTTAAGGGACTAAGCCAAAGAAAAATGAATGAATGAATGAATGAATGAATGAATGAATGAATGAATGAATGAATGAATGAATGAATGAATGAATGAATTGATTAATTAATTAATGAATGAATGAATGAGTACACTTACGCGGTAGAAATGTATGAATGTATACGTTTGCAACAGCATTTTCAGCCACAAAACACAAACATTACAATACTACACACACATTAGGGACCATTTATTTTGTAAAACACTAGTAAGGGGACAACAAGCTAACATATAAGTCAAAATGGTAAACTCACCTGTAGTTTATTGACTCATTGTAACCTTAGAGTACATATTGTATATACGCAGTGGTCATTGCTTTAACCAAATACCACAACAAGGAAATGGCGTTTACTTCCGTCATTAACAAACAACAGCTGGCTGAGAGACATTTCGCCATTTGCAGGAGCTCAGTATCTTTGTTTTGCCTAAAATATTCAGATTGTAGGAGATCCGTGTCAGCACGAGGAAAAAAAGCGCGAAGAGCTGCCACTCTCTGTCACAGAAACCTGATGGCGTTGCCTGGCAACCGAATGGTCCAAGGAGGAAACTGAATCACTGCTGAAACAAGGCCAAAAACGTTCCCCTCAAATGACACGCCAAACAATGATGAGCGGAAAAGCACGAAACTGATGACTGGTTCGGTTTTTAGTGTTAAAGTTTCATACTTAGACAGCTGGCCCATTTACGTAATGTTTATTTGAGTTCCAGTTCGATCATTTTCTCTCCCTATATTATATAAACACAGCAAAACACCATTATGAGGTCAAAGTCAACAAACGAACAAAGACAACTTTGTAGCTGCTATAAATGAAGGCTAATCGACGAGTTACCGTATATATACTCCTAGATTATGTTTAATTAAGACTTTGAATATCAATAGGATCTGAAAGGGGCTAATTTATATGCAAACATTTCCAAGTAACGCCAATGTGTGAATAGTTTGCGCACGTTCCAGTCATTAACAGAAAAGGTAAGTAAAATTGGTGGTCATTTTGTAAGTTAATTGATAAATACCGAAATAAACCATCTGGTGTAGCCTAAATATATGCTAAAATAAACAAGATCACTTTGTTATTCAGTTTCTCTGGGTTTACACATGTTTGAGTAAAATAAATGTTTGGTTGCACTGCAAACTATTGATGACATTTATTTGATGCTGTTCATGCTGAATTTAAAATAAATTTTAATTTGGAACATAACATTATTACTATTAGACAGTTATAAAATGACCAAAATTAAAAATTTATTTGAGAAGACATGAACTGTCAATTGGGTTGTACCCTTTCAAAAGGTACACATTTTTACCTAAAGGGTCCATATTGGTACCTCAATAGTACATAGTACCTATACATTTTAAGATAACACTTTTATACTATTTAGTTACCAATACCTTTGAGGTATTAATATGGACCTTTTAGGTACACATTTGTACATTTTGAAAAGCTACCACCCCAGTGACAGCTCATGTACCTTTATTTCTGAGAATGTAACATCTTTATTAAAACAAACATTTCCAAAAGTAAATAGTAGTGTATTTAAATTCTAAAATAAATCTGCCCTATACACCTAATTATAACCAGAATATGCTAATGTAGTGGTTCAGACATGGCTGAGACATGTCCACATTTTCCATCAGGTGCCCCATATTGTACAGAAGCCAATGAAAGTGCCAGTTCCCAGATGGATTGTGTGGCCCTGGGCACTGCCAATCTGCTGGAAACACACTGCAACCTTGAGTCCAAACGCATGAGATACTGAGGTCAGAATTACACTTAACAAACATCAGAATAAAAGAGCATCCCTGGACACTCATAATGTCAATAGGAAAGAGGACATAGGATCATGGGATAGGGCACTGTTTGGTTAAAAATTGACTGAGGGTGTCATTTTAGATTATAACAAATTTAACTATAAAAATCCAAACTTGCAGAGGGACTTTCATTGTTTTAGTTTTATTAACAAAAGATTTATTAAATGCTAAAAACTGTACAATATTAAACAATGGATTATATTAAACATGAACAGCTCTGAGTCGAACAGACTGAGATCCAATGTACTAAATATCAGCTTATGAAGTAAATTAATTCTACTCCAAAGCTATTGAAGCCCAGAAGCAACTTAATGCTGCTGTAATAACCATAATGTTATAGTAAAACATAAGAAAGTGCAGTTATATTACTATATACTGGTCATTTTATCACCTATTTAACAGTATTGTTAGGAAAACAAGAAAAAACATTCACTGCTCCTGGCTGAATAACTGACACTATAGCAAGTTACCTGAAATAAATCAGCACCATAATTGAATTTGCACAGAACCTGTGCAAACTGTAAACAGAATATAGAAAGTAATTGATTTTCAATGATGTTTCTTATGTGTTTCAAGCATCTGTCCTTGTTGTGTTGTCACAAACAACTCAAACTTAATGAAAAATACAGTTTATTAAATTTCACTGTAACATAATCATCATTTAAACAGATCTGCGTGTAGAAAGAGACACTAAAAATGAGAAATTAATCATTTTTAATACATTTTAAAAAGTGCACCATGAAAATATACAGTTACGATTGATCCACACTATACACTTGTATACAGATACATTAGTATACAAAGATTGTGATTGCATTTAGGGCACAGACAGTGATTCAGTCACAGGTTTACTGATAAGGAGGTGGTGGAGGCGGAGGTGGGGGCTGGAACATAAACCCCTGATTGGGCCCTGGGGGCCACGGGGCCATGCCCATGTGATAGGGTGATGGTCTGGGAAAATGAGGGACCATCGGGCCCTGATAGGGAAACATCTGTGGATCCGGATGAGGAAGCATGTATTCAGGTGGGAACCGAGGGTGAGCGTGGAAGTTGCTGTGGAAACCGCCGCCGCGATTGTGGTACTGCCCGCGAGGGTGGTTGCGGTTCTGTCTGGGCTTCCTCCGGGCAGCTTTTTGAGGCATTTTTTGGGCGTCTGATTCATCCTCTGATAAGACAATGAAAAGAATAAAAAGTAGCGCTATTACACCGCAACAACATGGGCATAATAAATGAAAAGAACGGTTGTGGGTGGTGGAAGGAAACAAAAATATCCCCTTCAGTCGACAACCAAACGCGGACAATACATTGAGAGTAATTGAATAGATTACCGAAAAAAGGAAAGTATTCATTTAAATGATCTCTTTAGGGTGGCCAGGAATCTGCACAACATAACCTTAATTACCAGTAAATCTTTCAAGAAAAATACAGGAAGCTTACCTTCCTCCCTGAACACAAGGTCAAAAGTAATCAAATAAATAGACAGGCCACCCCTACAAGCTCAAACTCTCAAAAAGTAGCAAGCATACATGGACATTAGTACAAGAATAAATGTTGGTCGTTGGCCAGAGAGGAAGGGAAATCCAGAAGCTTTCCACTCCCAGCAATCATCGCACCAGTTCCCTTTTCTAGGTGGCCGTGACCAGCAGCCAATCCGTTAGTTAGCATATCGCTACACTGAGCCATGTGCACAAGCAAGATTCTGAATTTAGCTTGCAACATCATGTCCCATGTCACTAAAAACACATTTTATTTAAGTGTCACTTTTGCCTATTGAGTGTGTAACTGTTTTGAATGCAAGAGGTCTGTTAGTAATCCTTTAAACATTTTTGATCATTGCTTAAGCGTTAACATTTTGTATATATCCTAATGTTCACATCTGAAAAGAAAAGACAAGTTTTGTTTGCTCACATGAACACATGCATTTGCCAGTGTGTGTATTTATTGCCTTGATGTATATTGGTGTTAGTATTGAATCAGTAAAATGTCAATCGATGATTCTTTTTACAATCCTACTAGCCTTTTATTTACAGTTAAAAACATTTGCACATTTGAGGAGGATTTTGTTTGTTTGTCATCCTGTCATGCCTGTAACAGTAAGCCACTGAAGTAAACGTCACATTATTTATTATTGATTGTAGGGTTGGGCGATGTTGACCAATTTGGCCTAATGCCGATGTTTCTAATGTTTGATGGAAGGAAACAAAAGAAAACAGAAGGGACGGAGTGACAGAGTGCGCACGATGTGTCTGAAGAGCGAGAAGGGATCCGAGGGTGAGAAGGGTGCGCGACTTGTTTGAGGACCAGGAGGGAGCAGCGCAATTTCCGGGGGATTATCACTCGTTTGCAGGCATTATGAGTCCCGCAAATACAAAGAGACTCCCAGAACT